ATATCAAGACAGTCCAGACTAAAATGCTGTTTTGTTGTGTAGTTTCTCCCAGGTGTGTTCATAACGGTAAGGAGTTCACAGAAGGCGAGGTGTACCGAATGGACCCCTGCTGGTTGTGTCAGTGTCGAGTTGGAGTGTCGTTCTGCTCTAAAGCCGAATGCGCCGAACTGGACTGCGAGAACTTCTACGTTCCTGAAGGGGAATGCTGTCCCGTCTGTATAGGTACTGAACATCTTCAGCAATCATTAGATGCATGCATTTTATTACCAGTTCATCTTAGATCGGTCTGCTCTGCTTGATTGCATTTAAAGATAAACTGTGATGAGTTACACAAAGTGAAAAACCAGCAGAGACCAACAAACACACAAACCTGACGCTCTTCAAACACACGGTTACTGACGGCTTTCTGTTCTCAGAGAGACTCAGATCTGTGTGCTCACAGCTGTGACCTTCTGCTCCTAAGGGTCAAAGGTCAAACTCATACAGTTTCTGTGGGACAAACCGTGTCAACAGATAATATTTGTGTTTTCAGTGAATTCAGTGAGCTTGAATATATTCTGGTTTAGAATTATAACCAGTGAATTTCTATTCATTCTTGCCATGCACAGTGATATTTTATTATTATGTATATACATTATAATATTTATTCGTATTTTTAATGAGCTTTTAGTTCCATATTTTTATTTTAATGTTGTTAAGTTGTGCATTTTTTAAATATTTATATTTTTTTTCTATTTCTACTATTATATTTACATCTATTTAAGTTTTTGAATAAATTTAGTACTTCAACTTTTTTAAGTTTAATACGTTTTTTATTTAACATTTATATATCTGTTTTTACTATTATATTTATATATACTTCAGTTTGAGTAAATTTAGTACTCTATTTTTTTTTAGTTTAAGTTTTTCACCTAGTATTTATATTTTATTGTATTTTAACTTTATTTCAATTAATGAATATGATTTTTAATAGTTTTATTTTAGTTAATATCAACACTGATAATTCAAGCACATTTATACATACATATATATATATATATATATATATAGACATTAATAATGTTACAAAATGTTTCTATTTCAAATAAATGCTGTTCTTTTGATCTTTCTATTCATCTGTGAATCCTTTGAATTAGAAATCAGAAAATCTCTAATTTTACATGCAAGTATAGCCGAAATCACAGCACAGCTATTGTCTTTATCTTATGTGTATTTGATTTTTAATCAGACGATGGCTCGGCTTTTTGTGCAGATTATCATCTTGGAAGAGAGAGCTGGTTCGTGGTCTTAATGGGCCGCGTTTCAGTCACTGTTTCATATTCATTCCGTTGTCTGACAACAGAAACCGTAAAATATATCAATGAAAACAGTTTTATTGAGAATTTAGCTGCATCAAAATACAGTATGTGGGCACAGAGAGGCAAACAAATGTAATAATAAATGTAAATTTTGCATGTTCAGATGAAGTGAGCTGCCCTGTCCTGCAAGTAATGTAAACAGGCTTGTGTAAGTATTGCTCAGTGCAAATAAAGAGAAGTAATGGCAACCTGGTTTTTCTATGTTCTTTTTTCATGCGTCTAATAGACATGAACAAGTTCTTTGAAACATGTCTAGTCTTCATGCTCTATGCAAACTATAGTTTCACTAATAATAAACATACATTTGCATAAAGCATCCATATTTGTTCATGCCCATGTTGATTAGTGTTAAAAACTTGTACGTGTACTGCTTTAGGCTAACCGAGCCTTCTCATTTGCACTTACATGCACTTACATTTTGATTGCTTCTATTGTCCTCATTTGTTAAGTCGCTTTGGATAAAAGCGTCAGCTAAATGACTAAATGTAAATGTAAATGTAATGTGTCTAATAGACATGAACAAGTTATTTGAAAAACATCTATGATCTTTGAAACATGTCTAGTCTTCATGCTCTATGTTGTGTATGGTTTCACTAATAATAAACGTACATTTGCATAAAGCATCCATATTTGTCCATGCCCATGTTGATTAGAGTATTAAAAACTTGAAAAGTATTAATTTAAGATACATTTAGAACAGATAATAATGTGCGATTAAGTTGCGATTAATCACGAGTTAACTCGTGACAATCATGCGATTAATCGCGATTAAATATTTTAGGGTGTACTCACACTAGGAACGGTTGCCTTGAACCGAGCCCGAGCGCGATTAATAACCAGAGCCATTATAAACCTAAATATACGTGATTGAATTAAATTAATTGAAAAGTGTAGTGTAGTAGTTGTAATAGAATACGTTTGCGGTCGTAATGATGA